CAAATGCGAGAACGAGTCACCTACTCAAAAACAAATACAGGACGAATACAAAAATAAAAACGGTACAGCAGGCACTACTTATTTCTAACATGAATTTTTCTTACAGGCCTACTAAACTTAGATAGCATTCATGAGTAGAGCAACATGGTACCTATAGCTTTTTACTCAACTTGGCGGGGGCACAACCGTGCCCACAGATTCAAAATGATCCAGCACATCATCATCTAGCTTTAAGTGTAAAAGCAATCATGAGAAGAATTACATTTTAAATATCTATGAAGGCGCACAAGCAGTTCTTACTAACCTACTGCAGTTTCCAATGATCTACTTTCCATTGCAAAACATACAATAAATCTTATTATTTTCAAAATTCCTTTCGTCACGTTAGAGTTGAGGATATGGTGGATCATTTGGCATAGTTTAATGAAACTATATGTCAGCCATTTTGTACCTACTGGACATCAAACTTGGCATGTTTTAACTACTTTTAAAAATTTAACTTCGTTTTTTTCTAAGAGCGCAACAGAAATGTATTAAAACGATATATTTTTGAAATTGTCTCGTCTAGCCCTTTCATTTGATACCCCACACGATGGGCTCCAGAAGAATTATTTTTTTAGTGCCATACAAAAAAACGAAGGTCCGCCATCTTGAAATCCAGTGGATGGATTTTTCATTTCCTCGGATGGAATCATTCACAATGGTCCCTAGTATCACTGAGCAAAGCGGCATCAACTGTGCCGGCAAAACAGCTTTCGGGTGATATTTGACCGTACCCGCTTAGACTATAAAAGAAACCGAATTGCAAGCGATCGGATACCATTATACAGGGTGTAAGGGACAACTCGTGCATTCAGACCATGAAACTGAACAACTTCCCATATGAAAATGTTCCAGGAGTCGTAAAAATATTTTGCCTTACCATAGTAAAGCAGTCAGCTGTTGGTTATTTTGTATGAGAATTCATTTTTTTTTTACATCTGTTATGCTTTCTTGAGGTTCAGTTTCTACGTCTGAATTCACCCCCTTATCTTATCAGAAGTTCAGAACTAGGACAGCTGTCCCTTATATCCCGTATAACATAATAGCAAAACAGTAAACTTGCTTCGTGGTATCTTTTTTGACCAAAGAAAATGTTCAGTATGTTATTAATTAATTTAAACTGTTGAGATCTTAGTAACCCTACGTAACAAATTATCTTGGCTAGCCCTTAAAAAACTAACAAAAAATAATAGGTATAACTGGCGCAGATAAAGAAGATAATATCCCGAATTGGCAACATTATTGTTAACATCCTGCTCAAATGTCTTTAATATGATAGAGAGGCAAACAATAATGTTACCAATTCGGGTCTATGTTTTTATCTGCGCCAGTAGCAATGCCAATAGTACCTCCCTACTTAAGTCAAATAAACCTAAGTGTGAGTGTACGTGTACGAGTGAAGTGAGAAAAAAGTTCCATTTGCACTTTTCAGCAAGTAATTGAGTTTTATTTGTAAATTAAAAAAATACATGTAGCTAAGTACTTTAAGAAGCAGTTTAGTAGGTAGGTATACAATTTTTACGCCCAAAGCTACTGGAACTGTACAGATTTTTCTATAAATTCATACTTTGTATTTACAAATAGAGATTATATTTCTTTCATCTTTTATACAATAAAAAAGTAGCAGTACATTCCTATTTAAGATAATATTTAGTTAAGATAAAATATACTTCATTTTAATCTGCAGTAAAGTTTGGAGGTAAATAATAAATATAATTCACTTTCCAGTAGAAAATTACTATTCAGATGGGGTATTTACTACTAGATAGGCAGGTTTATTAAAATTTTATTATAAAATACCATGTATAGCTAAATTGGGTAGGTAAGTTTCTGTACTCGGCATTATTAAGTAGTAAAAATCAAGGATTTTTTCTGCTATTTAAAGTGATTTAGTACCAGTATTGCGCGAAATGTTAAATTATTTTTAAATTAACTTCGTTTGTTTTATTGCTTTGTTTTTTCCAAAAAAGCAAATATGATTAAATTTATTACTGTATCAAAGAAATGGCACTTCTTTTTGTGAAATTAATCTATCAGATTAATAAATTGTAAAATTTTGTTTAAAACCTTCGTTTGTACATATTGTTATGTATGATTTAGTCGGGACTACGCGCGGAACAATTACCAGGTCAACATGCTGAAAACTTTTCAATATTCGCAAAAAAGAGTCGTAAAATTCGTATGTTTATCTAGTATTCGGGGCGTAAGGCACGGTGTAACGAAAAGTTTGCAGACGTAAAAACTACGAAACTGAACAACTTTCCCAATGAAAGATTTGGTGGCAAATAATTGTAATTTTTTGACTTCCTATACTAACTCTGTCAGTTGATCGGAAATTTTATACGGGAGGTCAAAATTTTTTTCTCGTTGCCCACCATTGGCTCCATAGGAAGAGTTGTTCAATTTCATGGTCTGAGCACGCCTGCAAAGTTTTCGTTACACCGTCCCTTACGCCCTGTATTTATAAATCAAGCTATAGCGTGCGCTTAACCAGGTATGAACGGTTGGCTCGGGTAAGAGTACAACCTCTCTGACCATCAGTAACAGACAATGCTACAAAACATCTATATTTCTACTACATCTATGGCTTTGGCTTTGGCTTACGCTGGGCACTACGGTCCGGTTCGGTCAGGAGCATTACGCGCACTCTATAGCTTGCTTGCTTATGCATAGGTACTCTAAGCTATGCCTATTAAATATACCCCACGTAGACCCGGTTCAACCACAATTTTTAAATTCTTTGCATAAAATAAGGAATACATAAAAATTTGTAGATTCTGTGCAAAAAATAGTGCATTTAAAACGTTTCCTTTAAAACACGGTGTATACTAGAAAATTTTAGATTTCTTATAAATAATATTGCATTTTTCAAACAAATCAAAAACAACAAATTTATATTAAAGCATTTGAATATCTTGGACCTTGCCAAAAAAAAATTTACAAGCGTTGAACGCGTGTTTAACCTTTTTCGTATGAAGTTTTATTTTAAACACGCGTTCAACACATGTCCAACTTTTTTGTGGTAAAGCCGCTTATTTTTACGATTTCTAAAAAAAAAACATTCACTCAGTCTTTAGCGTACAACTAGGGCACAATTTCACTTTATTCACATCCAAGCACGGCCCGTGAAAAGTGTGACCGCATTTGAAAACCCAAAGTCCGCCATCTTTGATCATGATCTTATTTTCCAATGGCAACCCACATAGTAAGCAGTCGGTCACACCTTTCGTTATATCAGCTATATTGTCTATTATTTGATTTAAAGTGATATTTCTTACTTGGTATACTATTTTGTTTTGCTCTTCTTCGGTATGTAGGATAACTTTGTCTGTTAATGGTGTAAGGCCCCAATGTATGGTTTTAGCTGCTACAACGATTGGTAAAGATGTGTTGTTTACGTTCCCTTTTGAGTTACTCCGAAGAAGACTGCATATCTGGAAAGAAATACAAGGAGAAAATTACTACAAGTTATCAGAGAATGTTGGGGCTCAAGATCAGTGGAGATGTTCATTCTGCTAAGACTGAATTTTGTCTTTTACCACACAATAATTTGTGGTATCGCGTTTTAAGGCTTCTACAGCCCCCTCCTCTACCGGAAGGTTCGAAATTCAAATAATATTCGGAAGTCGCGTCCGTGCCGGTCAATGAGTATCTTTACAGACGTGTCACCATACATTATATGTTGGAAAAAGTCAATGTTACAAAATAAATAGATACAGAGTAGCTGTTTACAGGGTCTTTTATTAATAGTAGGTACCTCGGTTTAATTATTTTATTATTAAATATTACCGGGTGTATAATTCAATTATTGTTACAACTATTTGGTTCATATTTTGCGTTCCGAATTTCCGATGTATGATATCAAAGAATTATTGACACTGGCAAAATTTGTCTTATCGGACAGAAGCCATTATGAAAGTTGGAAAATATTTTACAACAAAATTCTTGCTAAAGTAATTTTATGCGTACAAATTGTTAAAAATTAACAGTTTGGTGGGTCTGCCTCATTTTGCGTTTATCTATGACCCATTCACGTCAGTTTTGACTGCAGGGGAAACATATCAAAATAAATACCTTTTATCAACCTTTGATTCTTTGGATTGAATCCGGAAATAGTAAGTTTGTCGCAAGATTACTTGATAATGGTGTACGTTTATCAAAAAGTTGCATCTGTGATGAGTTTAACATTGAATAGTGAGTAATAATCATATAAAGTTTAATAATTTTCAATAACCATTGACGCAAAACATTAATACAACATTGTAGCATGGTCATGATAACAGTGAAAAATAGAGGTATCTTCATATTTTTATTTAATCTATTGGGATTGTAATGCACTCACAGTGCTATATTATTCTCACAAGTGAAAATAAGAAATAGATAAAATGACATGCATCGACCGGGGATCGAACCCGGGCCGCATGGGTAAACGCCCCACCGCTCTGCCACTGAGCTATCGATGCACGGCCGATGAACGCCAAATTATCTATCTCTTCATGCTCGTCTCCAAGCGTCGTCAAGAGATAGATAATTTGGCGTTCATCGGCCGTGCATCGATAGCTCAGTGGCAGAGCGGTGGGGCGTTTACCCATGCGGCCCGGGATCGATCCCCGGTCGATGCATGTCATTTTATCTATTTCTTATTTTCACTTGTGAGAATAATATAGCACTGTGAGTGCATTACAATCCCAATAGATTGATTAAGCAAGCTTCATCATATGGTTTGAATTCCACTCATAATGTGGACTAACCATGTAGTAAGTTCTAAATACTTTCTACAGATGTCGCTGGATCGTCGCTTGGAGACGAGCATCAAGAGATAGATAATTTGGCGTTCATCGGCCGTGCATCGATAGCTCACCGGGTGAGCCCTCGCTCCCCACCAAATAGTCAGGTGTAGTTTTAACGGACCCGGGTCCGGAAAACATAGAGCCCAGTATTAAAAAAAAAAAAAAAAAAAATCGATAGCTCAGTGGCAGAGCGGTGGGGCGTTTACCCATGCGGCCCGGGTTCGATCCCCGGTCGATGCATGTCATTTTATCTATTTCTTATTTTCACTTGTGAGAATAATATAGCACTGTGAGTGCATTACAATCCCAATAGATTGATTAAGCAAGCTTCATCATATGGTTTGAATTCCACTCATAATGTGGACTAACCATGTAGTAAGTTCTAAATACTTTCTACAGATGTCGCTGGATCGTCGCTTGGAGACGAGCATCAAGAGATAGATAATTTGGCGTTCATCGGCCGTGCATCGATAGCTCAGTGGCAGAGCGGTGGGGCGTTTACCCATGCGGCCCGGGTTCGATCCCCGGTCGATGCATGTCATTTTATCTATTTCTTATTTTCACTTGTGAGAATAATATAGCACTGTGAGTGCATTACAATCCCAATAGATTGATTAAGCAAGCTTCATCATATGGTTTGAATTCCACTCATAATGTGGACTAACCATGTAGTAAGTTCTAAATACTTTCTACAGATGTCGCTGGATCGTCGCTTGGAGACGAGCATCAAGAGATAGATAATTTGGCGTTCATCGGCCGTGCATCGATAGCTCAGTGGCAGAGCGGTGGGGCGTTTACCCATGCGGCCCGGGTTCGATCCCCGGTCGATGCATGTCATTTTATCTATTTCTTATTTTCACTTGTGAGGATATTTTTATTTCTTAGTATTTTGGGATAAACTTAGATGTTTGGGTTTCTGGAAGCGTTTCCCCATATTTTGTAGAACCAAATTCAATTTTTTTCTGATAATAACGTGTTTTAGATTATGTAATAAATAGAAAAAGCGTAGCTCGTGTTCACCTCACTTCATGGGAATTGGCCCCTTAAGCAGTGCTATTTTAAGTTTATTCTAGGTCTCACTAGATCTGCTACAAGTTATTACAGATTGTTGGTTTGGAAAATACCTCTAAATATTCGTTCTTACGAAACCAATCAAACTAGACCTATTAGATATTTCGATGGATGTAGACAGGCCTGTTAATAATAATTCAACTGCTGATCTTAGGTCTAGAATTTGGGGACAAAATGTCATGCTTACTCTACTCACCACATTAAACCCAAACACATAAATAAAGTCGTGTTTAACACTGCTCCCAAAAAGCAATTTCATTCCTTTAGGGATAAATTTTTTATAACAGAAAACTGTGTGGTGTCGGCTTAGAATAGCATCACCCTATATATTTGCTGTGGGTGTAGTAAAAAGCGACCAAGCTATTTGAGAGTTGATCTCTGACAACCTGTCACTATGGTGAAAGATGGGTGATACACAGTCTTTTGAATATTCTCAAACTATTGTCAGACGTAGTGTTAATGACCGTTTTTTACAGCCGCTTACGCTCTGCCTACCCCGCACGTAAGGGATATAGGAGTGTATGTAAAATAGAAAGTTTACCTGTTCTCTTGAGTCTTCAAACTCGTAGCAGCTGTAGATGGCATCCGTCATTTGATTTCTAATAGTAACGTCTATTTTCTCATACATAGACACAAGTAAACATGTATGGTAGAACTTCATAGTGATTTCTCCTGGATTTATCAAATTCGCGTGTTTTTCCATCACTTTGATCGCATTTTTCCCCCCAATAGATTTGATAATTAAGGCTCCTATGTCGTCCCAACTTAGGGTTTCTTTCACAGATATATTATCGAAACTTCTGTTACAATTTAGACATTTATTTGCATGTAACGTGGCGTATAATTGTATCGCTCGATCCCAAGTGTCTAACGTAAATTGTAGTAAAAATGAATTCAGCAACTTTTCGTCCAACATTTGCAGTAATATTTGTAAAAGATTTGACAAGTCTTCGTTCCGTCGCAAGTATAGAATCTTTCTCCATAGATACGGCATTTTCTTGCAAATTTCGTAGCACTGATCCCTTGTTTGACTTGACCATTGTTTTTCTATAAATTCGTCGATTAGGCTTGAAAATTCGGGGATTTGATTCGTTCTATTGAAAGGCAGAGGAAAGCCACATTCACATCCAAGGTTTGCCAATTTTTGAGTTTTTAAATTCACAGATATACACGAATCTACAAAATATTTGTATAGATTTTCATCTTTGATTATGGATGTAAGAAAGTCATCCTTTTGGCTAGCAAAACTTAGGTAGCTAAGAAAAATATTGTTTGGTACAAACTTTGATTCCTCTAAAGCGCCAACGGATATGCAGTATTTCTCTAACAACAGCATAAGTTGGTAGATCTTGCAAATATCACAGCTATAATTCTCTATTATAGAAATTAAATTCGATTTCTCGTCATCTTTACTGACTAAGCTTAGTCTAAAATATTGGTACAAAGATTTGCACACTCTGTCCTCTTCTAAATTATTATTCTCTATTTCTATGGCTTGTTGACTAGATTCTTTGTAAATAATATCAGTGTCGTAAATTTCTATAGGTGCAATGTCATTCATTGATTCGTTATAAGTAATTCTTTGAGGTATGACTTTGTCTGGCTGTTTCTCTGTGTTCAATAGTTTCATTTTGTCCTCAAAACCATCCCATTTTTCTTTTAAAATCTTTTTGCTTGTGCTAAATTTGTCTGAAACGGAAACGCTCAAATCTTTCAATGTTTGCAGTGCTTCTGGTGGTATTGTTCCGAATTTATTTCCTTCTGAATGAGTTTTTTTATCAATATCATCATCCAAACTAGATTGAGCTTTAAAAGCATTATCTAAAACATGAATTCCTGTTTTGTTGACCTCCATAGATTTTAAGCTTTCAAGCTTTTGCAATACCGGTTCAATTTTCTTTATTAATTCATCATCTTTAATTTTATCTCTTATTCCAACTATGATATGCATTTGAGCAAGCAAACTATTCTGTACCAAATAATCACAAAACAAGGCACACAATTCCCCGCACAGCTTATACCTCTCCTCTACATAACATTTCATCAAAAACTTATCTATTTTCATAAACTTTAAGCTCACAAGAGATCCATTGGTCAGCCACAAATATAAATTATCTTGATAAAGCTTTGCATCAACTATATCTTTGTAAGAATCGAACCATACAGTGTTGATTTCGTCATGTATATCTAAGAAATACAGAACATCTCTTTTGAAAGAAAATATCGTACCATTTAGGTTAAATAGTTTAGGAAAGTTTACTGACTGACCACCACTTCCTTTTGTTGCATTTAAATCTATAGTATATTTTTCATTGTTGTAACATTCAACTGTCAATAACTTCATAGGCTTTTTGGCTAAAACTTGTTTGAATTGATGAGTTCGTTTCACTGTGCCTTCGATGCTAGCCTCCCACAATCTTGAAGATGGTCTTGCACAATATATGAGAACATTTTCTAGTCCTTTGCCTACAGCAAATTTCTCATCATCATTGACTATGTTATATTTCTTTGCCTCTGTGAAATCTTTTACAGGTTCCGTAGTCCCATTTTCTAGGGTTTTCTCTTGTGTGACAAAACAGGCCCCAAATTCACCGTCCCTTAGTTTTTGTCCTATTTGTCTGTATTGCTCTTGCAGTGTGTCACATATGAAGGTTCTTGTAAGGGTTGAAACTAGGAGCATACAATCTCTAACATCCAGCTGGCATATTCGGGAATCCAGGTTCATGATTGTTTGTGAGGAGCTTTGAAACATGGCCTGAAATTGAGAGAAACGATTCTTTAATATTCAAATTAAATTAAAAATAAGGCATATAAAACACTGAATAATACGAAGCGCCTAAAAGACTTGATTGATCATCAATCATCATACGTCTGCATCGTCACTTAGCAACCAACGGGTGAGCTAGTAGGCAAATTCGGGCCTATATTGTTATCGGGCTGTATTACACGCTTGGCAGATTGGCGATCGCAGTGCAAGATGTTTTATTCACAGAGTACACTGCTGCCCATTCCCTGGATGATTATCCCTTAGTCGCTTTTTACGACACCCACGGTTAGAATTGGGGTGACGCTATTCTAAGCCAACATCACACATTTAGGGTGGGCCAGACAGATCAGTCAAAAGACAAAATTTTTATCTATACTGAGGGGTAATAAATCAGCCCCATGTAGGTATGATCCGAGAATTTTTGCATTTAATTTTTGAGTTCAACTAGCAGAAATAATTTCTATTTTTTTACTTTATTCAGAGCAGTTATTTGTGTTGCATAACCTTAATGATTTTAGAATTTTTAATGCACTCACAGCACCCGTCGCTAGTAAATTTTTCAATTTTCTCATTTTCAATTAATGATTTTACTTTTTTTCCTATACAAAATTCAAAGTTGAATAACTCGCGAAGAATGTAAGAACATGGCAGTGATTGGAGTACCTCTCAGTAAAAGGAATTTAATTCACCTTGTATAATCATTTGGTAAACAGGGGCTTGGTTTTAATCAGATCAACAAGCCACCAGTTCAGATCTATTATGGCTATCCCTTTAATCAAATGACTTTTTCCAGTCAGGCTAATCTGAGGGATGCCATAACTTGTTTGGAATCAAGAGCCAGATATGTGACATTGAGGGAACATCCTATAATACCTATACAAAATAAACCAACCAATGTCCAAAAAATACTTACAATAAAGCTCTGCAGCTGCATAACTGCTATCTTCCCAACATCATCACCGGTGAACAAATTATTACCGCTCCAAACCATAGTTGTGACTTCGTTCCCTTGGTGTTCCTTGGATGTCACCGATGAATGTCCCCCGCTTAGTGACTGGTCGCAAGCAGTCACTGTGACTATGCCCCGTCCGTTGGCAAACGCTATGTGCTTCTCATTCGAGGATATGGCTAGTCTGGTGATAGGGCCGTCCTGAAATGTGAGAACAGGGTAATTAATTATCTATACTATAGGTTTTGAACATCTTGGCTCATAAAGTCCTTTTTTCAAAATGTAGAAGGGGTGAACCACCCCATGAAACTGAACAACTTACCCCAGGAAACATAGGTCGAAATGTGAAAAATATTTTGGACCTCCCATGCAATCTGACTTGCTTGGCTGCTTAGGCGAGAGCCACAGGAGGCCCAAAAATTTTTTGAGATGGTTTTGAAGTAGCGGCTGGCC